AAATGGTTAAAGATAGGATATTCTGGGATTAGCTGATGATTAAGACGTCCAATAAAAGAATAAAAAATTAAATAGCCGATGTTGTTTACTGTACGGGTGCGAAATATGAATGATGGGCGCTGTTGGAATGAAAAGGTTAGAAGCGTTCGAAATGTGGTGTTACAGGCGAATGATGAAGATACCGTGAATAGAGAAGGCTAGAAATGAAGAGGTATTAAAAAGAATAGGAGAACAGAGAACTCTATGTAAATAAATAAGAAATAGGCGAAATAGGTTGGTAGGACACCTTCTCAGACATGAAGGTCTAGTCAGAGACATAGTAGAGGCAGAAACAGGAGTTAGGAGGGGTAGAGGTAGACCTAGTGTTGAGACCTTTTCTTAGAAAGAGAAATCTCGAAATTGTAAGGAACTGTAAATAGATTGTAAATTTAGAAAGTGCAGGAACAATTTTTAGGGGACTATTTTTTAACAGCATGCCGAGGGTGGTCGGTCATGTCATAAATTAGAAGTTGTAGTTTTTTAGAAAGCGCACCGTACCGTCATGAAGTGACCCTGACTAAGTAACCGAGGGTGAGGGGTGGCGACGGTACTGGATACATTTTAACTTAAGTTTTTCGAGGAGACTAAAATTGAACTCCAATAAGGACAGTTGACTTGTAACAAAAAAAAGGAAAAAACTTTGTACTTGCACAAAAAATAAAAATTAAGTCGAACTACAATATGTATTTCAATACAGCGTTTTAACAATTGGTTAAGACGCAATACCTAGATTAGATTACTGTTTGCAAATAGTTAAGGATGTGGGTTGTTCTAGTTTTAGGAAGATTAGCTCAGGATAAGAAAGAGTGGAGGTGCGTGTCCAACCAGTCTTAGGACTGACGACCTTATGATGATGATGAGCATATTTAAATGTCATTATTCGGTGGTCGTAAGGTCATAAACAGGATGTAGCAGTGGCTGTAGCTAAACACTCGAAAAACACGAAATTAAAAAAGCATATCCGTCATACTAGTGAGCGGGTGCTATTGAACTAATGCGAGCTTTGGCGATGATTTGAATGAATTAAAAAAGCTTACGGGACGGGGGAACCCTGATTCATATATACAATAGTGTAAAGTATTAGGCACTTCATTAGGTTATGCTGAAAGAGATTTTCCTGATTCGCTTGTGAAAGAGTATTGTGTGGTTGATTGGTCTAAAGTGCTATGCACTATGGACTTGTATGGGATTATGGTGAGAGGGAATTCCTTAATAGCTTGTGTAAAGTACTATACACCGTGCGGTAAATGGTGTGCGCTAGGTTAGGTTATGGAGGGAAATGTTTCAATGATGACGTTTATGAAGTGTTAGGCACCTTGGCCTAATTTGGTTATGGTGAAAGAGGTTTTCGTTATTGGCTTGCCTAAAGTACTATGCACTTTGGACTTAAGTAAGGTTATGGTGAGAAGGGGAATTCCCTAATAGCTTGTGTAAAGTGCTATATACCGCCCGTTAAGTGGTGTGCGCTAGGTTATGTTATGGAGGGAAAGGTTTCATTGATTGACGTTTGTGAAGTGCTATACACCATGAGTTTAATTTAGGTTAGGTTAGGTTATGGTGAGAGAGAATCTTCTTCTGATTGCCATGTGTAAAGTGCCATTGCCATGGGGACCCATCCGATAGTTACAATGTATGTAATATAGATAACCGCTTGAAATACGATATCGAAGTCATTATATGTATGCAATAACCGTGAAATTATGCATAGTATATAAGTATTTACTAAACGAAGTCAAGTGTTTTTTAAGTATACCATAGTGTAGAAGGAGGGAACATGCAACCTACATGAATGCTAGCTCATATTAATTAATATTTAATGATAGAATTTACGACAATTGAAAATTAGCATTCTGAAGTGTAATTGATTGAATTGTAACTACCAAAACTAAAATAATTTCGCAAATTTATAAGTATATCAACTTATGCGGCCTTCTTTATTACTTCCTAATTTAAATTTGACCTATAGTGGTAAAAAGTTCCTCACGTCTGGTATGGGAAATTTCAAAGTATGCACTATGGGAATTGTCGCTTCGTAAAAATATGCATTCTGTCTATATTATCTTCGCACAACCTCCAGCAGCCAGTTGGTGTTCGTGTCCGCTATGTTTTTTTTTAAGCTGGTGTTGATAAGAGTGGCATATTATAATTCAATACCAAGATCTGCACTTTCGCATGCGGTATATGCATGTATAAATCTCTTTAGTATAGGGGCTTTTTTAATAAATTAGAGTTGTGATTTCAACTATCAAGTAAAATATAAAAATATATTCTACGTACCCCAAGTAAACTGTTAGTATATTACGATAATTATAAATTTTAACACAAATACTAAACATTGCATTTTTATCATATTTACCTAAGAACTCTGAATTTTTAAAATTCTTGTTTGTTTTGTTTAGCATTTTTTATCGTTTTAACATTGACAAATTAGTGAATAAAAAACCCAAAAGTTCACATTAATAATGATAAGTGATAGCAGACTGATAATGAAACATATGATGCATTTTGACAACTGCCTAACTTTATTTTCGTTTATTGTATGTACGTATAAAAATAACTTGTTATCTCAAAAGGTCTTGACCTACATACACAATCTGTATTAGAAATTGTTCTACATATTTAATTCATTGCCCGGCACAATCACAAATGCAGAATATTAATTTTATGCCAATTGTGTATACTGGGTGCACTGGTATTGTAGGTATATGGATTTGTATGTACACTAGGTAATGGTAAACATACCTAGCAGGTATCAATATCGCGGTTATTCTCTCTCCTCTCTTGCATAATTTTTGATATCATTTCTGTCAACAAGTGTAGAGTAGACCTGTTGCAAAGCAAATACATATACATATACATTTTTATTTAATGTTATGCCTTACATTTTCGTTTATAACCGAAACCGCAAAACTAACCGACCTTGGCACCCAGCGGCTACCACATTAATAAATTCATATGTATATATAGGCAGTATTAACTATATTTGCATATATGTATGGATATAATGCAGTCAGCGATATTTATTCCGCGACAGCGTAAACCTTTGAATGTTGTAAAAATAACGCGATTGCATGCACAGAAGATGTAAAAAATATATGTACATTTTTATCAAAATTGGCTTACTTGAAGATCCGGAACTAAAAAGTAAATTGTATAATATCGTCGATTTGTTATATGAGCATATTTTTCTAATTGTAAGCCAAAATTAACAAAAAAACAAAGTTGGCGTTATTTTTTTTACTTAACGACTGTCATTTATTTACTTTATTATTTGTAGAAAAACCTGAAATTCTTAGAAAATTTTTAATTCAAACAAAAATTTTCCTAATATTAATAACAGGAATGTATAAACGGTCTAGCTCGCAATTGTAATGCGTTAAGTAATATTAAATGCAGTTATATAACATTTAAGATGACCGATAACATTGTAAAATTACCAGGGTCCGGTAATACAATATCAACCAATTATGGTATCATCATCGCCCATGGAAGTTGAAGGTTAACATCGCATCGGTCCTCCTCTGTATCAATTCAAAGTTCAAAGCAGTATATATAAATAGCCATGACGTTCAATTACATCATAAAACTGTAAATATTGGTTTCCGATTCTAAAAGCAACAAGATACTGCGAGTATTTATTGTTATACGATGAGATTTCTGTATTTGAGTTCGAATAGTACCTTACCTCCCATATTCTATATATAGATTGATCAAGATGCATAAATCTTGTTAAGTGTAGGTATAAAATTCTGAGCATCATATGAAGACCGAAATTACACAATGAAGAAATCTAGTGAAAAAGCTAAATAGAGAAAATTTTAAAGTCTTGACATCTATTATTCTTTCCCTCAATTTTCCAATAAATATTTTTCGAATTCATAATAATTAGAGAATGTGTGGCTTCATCATCATCATAAGGTCATCAGTCCTAAGACTGGTTGGACACGTACCTCCACTCTTTCCTATCCTGAGCTAAACTTCGCATTTCCCTAAAACTAGAACAACCCGCATCCTTAACTATTTGCGTTATCCTTAATCTAATCTAGGTCTACCTCTACCCCTCCTAACTTCTGTTTCTGCCTCTTATATGTCTCTGACTAGACCTTCATGTCTGAGAAGGTGTCCTACCAACCTATCTCGCCTATTTTTTGTTGACTTCCATAGTCCTCTGTTCTCTTATTCTTTCTAATACCTTTTCATTACTAATCTTTTCTACCCACGTTATCCTCATCATTAGCCTAAAACACCACATTTCGAAAGCTTCTAACCTTTTCGTTTTAGCCGCGCCCACTGTCCATGTTTCGCATCCGTACAGCGACACGCTCCAAACATACATCTTTAACAACCTTTTTCGAATAAAAAAAGTACACTTAATTTTTTGCACACACCTGTAAATTGTAATGCTTCAAATTTTTATGTTTAGGAGTCGTCCATAAAATACGTCACTCAGACTTTCACCTTTTTGAATTTCTCCCTTCCTCGTCGTCACAATAAGTTACACTTTTGGCGACCCCCTAACAAATATTACGTCACAAAAGCTAGTCCTCCCTATAAATGATTTTGGTGAGTAAAAATAGCCGTAACAATCACTATCGTAATGAAAAATAAGAAAATAAAATTAACGAACTGCCTTCACATTTCCTTAGATCTCTCTCCTCCCCTGTCGTATCTATAAACGTTTTTTATGAAGATATAATGCATGAGTAGTATTATTGTAACGTAATTTGCTAATGAGGGTATCGTTTTTTTTTTTTTTAAATACGAAACCCCTTAAAGAACGACAATTAACAAGTATCCCTTTTGACTGATGTAAATTACATCCTATCCTATCTAACAGTGGGATTGGCTCTTTATGATGTATCTATCATATATGTATGTACATACATAGATAACATTTTACAACGGCGCTACTGATTTTGCCATAATCATATCGAGTGGATAACGTCGATTCCCCACAGTACCGAGGTAGTACTTTCGCCTGCTAGTCTGTTTTAGTTCGAGCGTGAACGCGTAGCCGTTTGTTTGCGACAGTGTTGTGAGGTGTCGGTCAGTTCGTTTTCTTCTTTTTTTTTTGTTTCCGTTTTCTTGTCGGTCGATTTTGCCGCTATCTTTGTGTAGGTATACAAGTGCAGGTGAAGTTCTTTGAGATTCCGCAATTGTGGTTATTGGCGAAAGCAAATCTATTATTAAAAGCTTTTGTCGGAGTTAGCGCACAATGAAACTGAAAAAATGATGCTTCTTTTCAGTCAATAACTGTGGGCGCTATTTTTAAACGGGCTGGTTTTGTAAGATTTCGGATAAATTTTTATTGTATTTAAGTTCTTACTGCTTAGTGATTCAAAAAATATAAAACAGGGTTCCATGTTCTAAAGAATTTTTAGCAGACAATTTTTATCGCGAAAACGGATAAGAAACTTAAATTATTATTATTACTCTTTAAACGCAGTATAAATAAATTGCTTTTTGTACATTTTTTATTTAATGAGAAGATAAGCTTAATGCAGTTATCTACAAAAAAATGCCTATTATTCTTATTTACGTATAAATTTAAAGAATTTAATTTATATTTCTATACACACAATTGCACATAAATTTATTATTTAAATTTATCTGTGTAAGTGTATCTAAATTTCATCACTTCATCAATTTTTGTCATGTATTTTTAAACCAGTAGGTAACTAGGTACCAACCGTTAATGGCCAGAATATTCAATATTAATTTTTTCACGCTGTCGATTAAGTACCTGTACATGTAATATGTATTTTAATGTGATGTTCGCTAATACCATATTTTTTTCGTAACTATGCTTGTGTAAATTTTGGTCAAACCGGTTTTTTTTTGTGGCAACACATCAGATCATCGCTAATGTAATTTTCCGCATTTACAGTAGGTAGTGTTGGAAACTTCGCAATTATTTTTTATTGCCTTTTAATTTGGCACATAAAACTGCTAAAGGATAAAAGTGAAATAAAAGTTCCGTATAATCATATTTGGTCTTATTTTTTTTTATTAGCTAATAATTTAAACATTAAAGCCACGATACCTATTAAAAGTAAGAATTGAAAACAGTTAGGTTAGGTTAGGCACACACTAGCAAAAAAGAAAAAACAAGAAACAAATTGCAAACATAAATTTATAATTAGATAAACAAGCAATCAAAACCAAAGGTGAGAGTAAATGTTCAGGCAAAAACAACGAAAACAATGTGTCATACCATTTTATTATCATATGTTTCTGTAATAACGCTTACAATCAATTTAAATGATTCATTTTATTTGGAAAATAGAAGTAGCTATTTGACAAATCAGTAAAACAGTTGCAGTTAGAAAATCAACAGTTTTGGGTACTTTAATTTCAATTTCGGTTTTAAATTTTTGTAATGACATGCCCTCTTAATAGGCGGCTAGTTGTTGAGAAAATTCAATGGAAAATGACATTACATTTTATATTGTCAAAATTTGCAAAGCTGTGTGACAGGGTGTATGTTAGATATCTTTTTTTTGTCAATTCGCAAAAAAATGGTAGGTATTTACATTTACCATTACCGTGGTTATTCCACGAATTTTGGAGACATAGCGTATTTACCGAAGTAATCGTCATTGAACCATTGTTAGAGTGCATTTTACGTAATATTTAGTAGGTATATACGTTTAGCTCGTTAATAAGTTTGACCTTAATTTTTAATAGCAAGAATTAGCCTGAACTCAACGCGCCAAGTATATGCCCCCTAACATGCATAATTAACTTATTAGAAATAAAGAGGTTGGTGATATATGATGCGGTTGAGAATATACGTATTTTTTTAATCGTTTCATCTCCATATAGGTTTATAAGAATGGTAATATTGCGAAAACGTTAACGAACCGCAGAAAAAATTTAACGAGAAAAGTGCGTAAATGTTATTATATCACGGTTCGTTGCATTTTGTGAAGTAACTGCTGTCGAACGATGCGAATTGAGGAAGAAATTGCTTTATTCTATCTATAATTGTAACGTTTATTGCTGTTCCACGAGCTTTTTAACGGATCTTCGAGAAATGCTTTTATTGCATTGTAATTGAAAGAACCCATCAATTAAGAATTCAAACTTTTTGTTTTCAGATACCTCTTAAAAATATTTACCTATAAATAAAATACTAAATGGTGGTTTANATTGGATTTCCTCATATGTGACGAAACGTACAGACAAGTTAAATATGGATCTAAGAATTACTGGAAACCGAAAGTGTAAACACTTTCTAAATAGATAGATTTATTTCAGAACGTTTTCGAAATTTTATTAGCTCTCCGTATTTTCGTATGTTGTGAACGAGCATATTTAGCATATCTCTTCGATTAAAGTTATTTAATAATACTGTACCATGTGTACGTAAAGGCATAAATAAACAAACACACTTTTCCTTTTCATTTCTGTTTATGGTATAAGTACTGTATGATGACGCTGTCTTATTGATAGATAAAAAGCCAGCGGAAGCACCTAATGAATGTTACAATAACAGTAATGATACTAAAGGATAAATATTTAGTCAAGTCTCACATCCATTTCTTCGAATTAATTTCAGATAGCGGAAAAAGTAACCCAGTTGGGTGTGTGCGTTTGTTTATTCTAAACTGCGGTAAAATAGAACTAGGTAAAGTGTAATAATATTAATAAATCGATAAGGTTTACGTATGTTTTGTCAACCTACAAAATGAACTGGAAAAGTAGCACAATTTTTAACAGTGATCTATGTGATGTGCTCATTTCTATTTTACAATTGCATGATTTTCATCAACCGCGACTGGGGATGCTTCGAATAGGTTTCAACAGTTGGGAAAATACATTAACACTTTGGCACGTCACCGTTGGTTTTGGTAATACAATACATGTATGTAATATCTGTCGTGGAAAATTAAGAAGTGTCGATTTAATAAATTTTGAAGGAAACATTAGTAAAGGTCTAGATGATGGATCGAAAAAGGAGATCTCCCCCATCACTGTACCATATAAAGTTCGTGGCGATCTCACCCCTATAAAAAGGTTATGGGGTTTAGATGATGGCCCCCCACCCCGAAGAGGGTGGGGTAGGGCGGATCGAAAGAGGGTAGTCATCTGAGTAAAACCCCATAAAAAGTTTGCGGCGGTCTCATCCCCATAAAAAGTTATGGGGGTTGAAAGTTGGTTATTTTGACAATTTTCATACACTATAATTCAAATAAAATTCAATAAAAAAATTATTTNGTTAAGTTAATTCACTTGTTATTATTTTTGGCTAAATATGCTTTTAAATAAAGCATATATTCTTAAATTTTAACGAGGCAGTTTAAATAATTTTGCAAATGGTACTGTACACTTCTGTCTAGCTCTCGCTCGATGATCGGTGAAGAAATGAGCTACGCAGACAAATATGAATTTGGAATTATGCTACGGCACATCCTAATAAAGGGAAAGGGCATATCTCCAACTTCTTGAAACGAACAGTAGTAGTGGTAAATGGTAGCAGTATAAACAAATTCAACAGTAACAAGAATAAAAATTAAAAAAAAAAAATCAACTATTTCAATTTATAAGAACTGCATAATTTCGAGACAATGACAGATTTTTTCAACTGATATTACAGAGACGTTTAAGTGCCTCGCTTTTTTATTATAATAAGTGTGTAGAAAATGACGTCAACTGATGCACAAATAGGTGGATGTAAAAAAGAGATAAGAATAATAAAATATTTATAAACAGGATTTTGTGCAATAAGACATTTTTTTGTGTTTAATATATTATGCTATTATTAAATATGTAGGTTGAAATATTTCGAGAAGTCGAAGGGCGTTAAACGTGGCGTTATTAGGGTTTCCGACATTCCATCACAATGCTATGGGGACATCCACGCATTTATAAATATCTGTGACTCACTTTAAACCAGTAAATCACCGGAATGATGTTCATTCACAAAAATATGTGGGTCACAATGTACGCGAGGTTTTAATTAAAATGTCGCGCTCCAGAAACAGAAATGAATACGGCGACTCATCAGCAAAAGTGCATCTAAATACGTATTGAAATAAGTATATCAATGAGTTCAGGACGGGCAATTTAGTACATTTTAATGAGATAACTAGGTGATTTGAACAATTATCTACCTGAAAATGTAATTAAACTTGGACGTATAGATATATAGAAAATCACTACAATTTTTTTTATACATTTGCGTAGGTAATAATATAATTCATTGTCAAGACAATTAACATGATAATTTTTATGAAAATAATTTTTTGTCTATAATTTGAGAGAAATGTAATAATTTTTGATGAAGTTTCAACATTTCAACTGTTGTAAATTACCTACTATTTGTGTAGAGTCTGATGAATCAGAATTTAGGGCCGAGTTTGTAGTTTAAAAAGGTTTTACAATTAGCTTAATTAGAGTTACGTAGTTTATTTACTTCAAAGATATAGCAGACTGACTTTTAAAGTCCGTTAATATCTTTACAATCTTTTATAGCAACCGCACAACAGGATAACTATTGAATATTACATAAGTGGCTGAAGATCGTCAGGGCCGGATTAAAGTATAAATGAATTATGCAGTTGTCCTGCTGTGCGCTTGCTGTAAAAGGTTGTAAAGATATTAACGCACTTTAAAAGTTAGTCTACTATATCTTTGAGGTAACTATACCTAAATATAAACACACATCTCGTATGATGAGACTTCGTTTTCAATAGTGATAAAATAAGCAGTTACTGCAAGAAATGAAACGGAATTGGACTGAATTTTGTTGGTTACTAATGTTTTACAATCAAAAAGCAAAAGTGTAGGCGAAAATTTAACTTAAATAGCACTTATATTATTTTTAACTTCCAAGGTTAAAATGTTTTAATTTCTTAAATTGTTTTAAATGAATTATCGTAGAATCATTGAATTGTCATGATATTCGTTGTTTTATAATGTATTTTGTGGAGGCCGAATTTACATTTCGACTTAGTGAATTCTTCTATATCCGTCGTAATGACCGGCCGAATTTACCTCTGCTCCTTGTAGGACTCCACAGTACCTTATTTTTAAATGATTGTGTAGTGCGTTCATGAAATAACCGACAATAATAAATAAATAGTATCAGCCTACTATCACTACGAAGCGTTTACGTCATAGTACATGT